TGATTGACAAGTAGATGTAAAAAACGTTTTTACTAATGTATTAAAAATCATAAATCATTGTTTATAATTCTATGAAAATCTGACTTCTTTAAAATAATCTATTTATTACTTAGAATTCTTACATTTTTGTTAGAATTCTTTGAGGAAGATCTTAGGTGGCGTCCAATTCTAGGTAGTTCCCAATTCTAGGAATATTCCAGCGCAACAAGTCAATCATCATAAATTGAAAATAAATGAATGGCACCTGTGATTCGGGCTTGGTGACCTCTAGACATTTGACCATTGAACTCAAGTCTTGTCATTCAATTTAGATTTACTGTTGTAATATTGCCAGTAGCTAGACATTTTTCTTGTTGACATACTTGGTAATTTATTTATTTCGGGAGAAATAGAGTTTCGCTCATGTATGTTAATCAAGATAAAAATGAACATTTATCGTTGTGACTTGTTAAAATTAAATACAAATGTAATTATGACAGGTAGTCTTTCTGTTTAATAACGATATCTGTTAACATTGGCTTATAGCTACAATTATCTGATGCCATTGATTAGGGCAACTAAACCGGAATAATTATCCAATGTAATATTTATTATGTATTTAGAAAGTAAATAACATTTTGAATGCAAACCTAAATGACAATATCTGCACGCTTCAACTAATTTAATATTTAGACAACCTGTTGGCCAGTTTTTGTTAGTGAAATAATTTTGCATATTAATTGCGCCATCATTTGAACTATTTGTCAGAAAAATTAATGTATAGCAGGCCTTTGCTGGCACCATTTTAAGCATATTTAAAACAAAACAACTACAAAATGTTTAAAGTATTCGCTCATCCGTAGATATTCCGTTGTTTAAGTAGTAATATACCAAAGTTACAATGAACTTTAAGTCATATTTAAAAATAACATTTAATATAAGTCCGTCACTTCAAGTGGTCTTCTAATCCTGCGATTCGTAAATATTTGTCACTGAAATTACTTTTTTTTTGTTTGTAATCCTCTTAAATGTAAAAAAAATAAATTTAAATGTGAATACAAACTGACTTTAGCTGGCGGAGATGTAAATATAGACCACATTTCGAGGGTTGAGACAAACGTTTACACTGAAAACATAAAAGTGACGGACTTTTCGAATTTCGGTCATAAAATAATCAGTTTTTTTTAAATACCTCTAAAAATAATTGCCCGAATATGGAATGGTATACATCGTTGCGCTCGTAATTAAATTTCCAATCAAACTGTGATCAAAAATGGGAATGCTAATTTTTTGCAATTTTTTTCAAATTTTGATGATGTTACCCCTTACAAAAATTGCGAAAATCGACCGAAAAATGAAGTTCTCAAAATCGGTCAAAAAGTGATAGGGGTTGTTAGCGTTGGTAATTAGCTGCTCAAAACAGTTATTCTTCCATCTTTATGATCTTTTTTGGCCAAGTTATGATTAAAATGCCCATCAAGAATATTGTTATTTTTGCCAAAATCTGTTTTTTCGAATTTTGGTCATAAAATAATCAGTTTTTTGGCCACAACTGCAAAAATAATTGTCTAAATATAGAATGTTATACCTCGTTGCGCTCGTAATTTAATTTCCAATCGAACTGTGTTAAAAAATGGCAATGCTAATTTTTTGCCATTTTTTTCAAATTTTGATGATGTTACCCCTTACAAAAAATGCGAAAATCGACCGAAAAATGAAGTTCTCAAAATCGGTCAAAAAGTGATAGGGGTCGTTAGCATTGGTAATTAGCTGCTCAAAACTGTTATTCTTTCATGTTTGTGATCATTTTTAGCCAAGTTATGATTAAAATGCCCATTAAAAAAATTTGAATTTTTGCCAAAATCCGTTTTTTGAGTTTCGGTCATAAAACAATCACTTTTTTTGCCATAACTTAAAAAATAATTGTCTGAATACGGAATGGCATACATCGCTGTGCTCGTAATTAAATTCTCAATCGAACTTTGTTTAAAAATGAGAATGCTAATTTTTGGCAATTTTTTGCAAATTTTGATGAAAATTACAAAAAGTGCGAAAATCGACCAAACAAAATAATTTCCAAAAATATTTTTGGACTAGTTATGATGAAAATCTCCTTCGTTAGGTTTGATGAAAGAGTTGTAAAACTGTTATTTTTACCAATTACAATAAGGGATTACATATTGGCATATGTATGTACATTCATGACTTTATTACATATATGAGTATCTGGAAATTCGTTGCTGGAAGTGTAAAAAGTATGGAAGCGAAGGAGAATCGCATGGGAATTAGGGTATGATTTGGATGTTCGTGTCTGATTGTATCACCTATCTTTTCTGTTCTGGGTCCACGTGGCTTCGCATTGAAGGGTCACAATTTAGGTTTTGTTCGGTTCAGTTCTAATTAAACCATTTGAAGTTGATTGTGCTTTCAGTGCGAGGCTGCTGGCAGCCGCTTTCGGCCGATAAATCACATTTAAATGTTTGAGTGCTACTCAAACTGACTGCTCCCCATAGTACTTCATCCCACTCAGCACCCAAAAATAAAGCCCAAAACCCCGAATCGAACACTCGCCACGCAAAAATGTTGGATGCCTCGCAGGGAATTCGCATTGGAATTGGTCTTTGTATTCGGTTTTTTTTTTTTTTTGGTGTTTTCCAAGCTCCAGCCTGTTGTGCTTTGTGCGTATTTTTAATGTTATTTAAATACATAAAAAATCCGTGATTTAAATTCTTTTTTCTGTGGCCCTGAGGAAGGGCGATGCTTGGAGTAAACCATTCAAATTTTCATTGTATTTAAACCCATTTTAAACCTTTTTTTGCCTCAAAGTTTAAATACTGCAGCTTTTTATATTATTGCACTACAAAAATGAATAATTTAATAAAACTAATGGCGAAAATAAATTTGGTTAAATAAAAGGTAGAATAACAAATACATTTACGTTACTACCATCAGCATAATCACAATGCATGGATAATATTTAATTATGTATAAGCCGGCTGGCTTCTCTCATTCCCTTAATTAGCGCTATTTCAGAGCAGTGATGGAAAGCCAGCCCTTAACTTTCCTAATCGCATTAAAGTTCCTGAACAAGCTTCACTCCCAAAAAAACCCATGCTGTGACCTTGCTGCCTCAAATCAATTCGAAAAGGGACTACAAATCAGGGTGGTATATATCATAATTGAGCCACTCGATTGCCTCGCCATCCGCTCCATTGTAGTTTCCCTAGTCAGCAGAACTTTTCACCCATTTCCACCAACTTTTCCCACTCGTATTCCCCCTCTGACTTCAATCAGTCTCTTTGGTCTCTGGGAAAGTCTATCTGCCGGGCTCACAGGGTGAGTACTTAGCAGGGGCGATATAAAAAGCGATTTGAATTTTTTGGCAGCCTCTGCTTTAGTCCCTAACAACCTATATCATTCGTTGCTCTGCCCTCCAGAGAGAGAGAGAGAGGGAGAGAGAGGGAGATGGCTATATGGCGGCAGAGAGAGATGCACAGAGCGACGGCTGTCAATTTTCATTTTCATTGCGAGCGCGCCAGAAAGAGAAATTTAAATGAGGCTATCTTTCGGTTTTCTTTCTTTTTTTATTGTTCGTATATTTGTTCGCTGTTTGCGTTGTTTATCAGGCTTAAAGGCGTACGTGTGTGTGTGTGTGTAAGTTGGCACTTTTGCTAATTACTTGGTGCTTAGCCGGGAAGTGGGGTCAAAGGTTAGGCCAGGCCAGAACTCGATCCGAAATCGGAATCGAATCACATCGCTGCAAATCGTCGTCGCTCTTTGCTATTAATAGACGCTCATTATTGGCGTTTTTGGCATTTTTGGCATTGGCCAAAGTGAGACTCACACGTGCCAGGGTGTTTTCCTATTTTCCTTGGTTTTCTGGCAATTGGCAGAAGTCAGCCGAATCACAGCGATGAAGTTGGCGAAAATCACTGTGTAAAACAGTTTGATTTCGGCTTAATATCGAACAGTGTAGTTGTGAAAATCATTCAATCAATCATCACTTGTAAATAATTTGAAAACAGTAAAATGTTTAAATGGCTACTTTTTTTTTGTTATTTCCTTGTAAGCCATATACTTCCAAAACCAAAGTCAGTATTTTTGTGTGTTCCCAATTTAGCTTGATAAGTAAGCAAAGCTTTAAAGTAATGTCAGCACCATGAATCCGGCGATAACGAAATCAGGCAATTTTTTAACTTCCAAACAAGGCGACTTGTCAGGCTCGCTCAAGGACTCATCTCTGATCCCTGAGTCCTCGAATTAAGCCGGCGTCGTGTTGCCTACACACGAATCGGATTCATTTCCCTTTTGTGATGCCGACGGTCCTAATGCTTAATAACAATTTCATTTACATTTTCGGCACATTGCGCATCGGCTTTTGGGCCACGTAGCGTATGCGCAATGTCCCAAAGCCGAAAGGTATTTATTTTTTTTTTGTCATTTCATTTCTGGCCTGCCAGCCATTGTTTTGCGACCTAGAAAGGGTTTTACTTATACACGTGTGTATATACATTGTGTAATATTGTTTCTGCTCCCACACAGCCTCCATTATGAATTCAATTCAATTAATTGAGACATTTTCGTTTTGGCAAGTCTCTCTTTTTTTCTTTAATTTCGTTTCGCTGTGGGATTTGCCCCGCCCCCTCGGGGTATATATATACGCTTTGTCCTGACGCCTTCGGCCACGCCCCCGCCCCCGCCCACGCCCCCGCAATTTCCGGTACGCTTGGCGGCACTGCAACGCAATTATAATGCACAAAGGCTAATTGAAGCGCAAACGGGGGAATAAAGTTGAACAATGTATTGGTTTCGCGGATTTGCGGTAAAAATACAAGGTAACAATGTGGCATTTTTTTTGTTCCCTTTATTTGTTTGCCTGATACAGTGTACTTTAATTACCAATAGGGACTGTACTGTCAAGTGCCTATTGTGCCACAAAATTGCATATGCTTAATGGTGGTTTTGCGGCAATGTCACGGTGTCCATTAATGTTAAACCACTTTTATGGGCTTCTCCTAATAGGCTTTTTCCATTACCATTTATGCAGCAGAGTGTAAACAGTTTATCTCAATTGCTTGATGCTCCCTTACCGCTTAAAAAATATTACTTAAAAGTACAGTAAACATGTTAGTGATAATGCAATTGCATGCAGATCAGAAGGTTTTCTGCTCCACTACGACGATGGCCTCAAAAAAGAGCTCCACCATACCGAAGGTCTTAACCTCGAATTTGTAAATGCCATCGGACACATACGTGGGAAATCCATCGTTGCTCAAGATGCACCTGTCGTACGTAAATTTCTGAGCAGCAACGTGTTCGAGTTTGCCCTCGAATTGCGGAAAATTCGAGCATTTCGCTGCCGATGACATGACAATGTCCTTGTAGAAGGTGTTAATCGCCGTGTAGACTCCCGTGCGCGGTACGGAATAGGGTTCGAGTTTATAGGTGGCGCCACCATCGTTGCTGCGATAGATACTAGCCATGACCTCGAACTCCTCTGGAACGTCCACGTTAAAGTACAAGTTGCCACTCATACTGTATTCCCCGCGACCCTCGCGATTCAGATGAGTTTCACCACCGGCCACCGACTCATTGCTGGTTGACATTCTGGTCGATCTGATGTTATATGTCCACGTATGCTGTGTAATATGTTTTTGTGCGTAAATAGTCGATTATTTGGGCACTAAACTAGAGTGAAACATGCTCACTTTGCTTGGGGCGAGACCACCCCAAATCGAATCGCAGCACATCAAAAGTATGACTGTTTTCAGCATTTGTAATTTGCCGCCCATTGCTGGTTTTTTTCTCTGCTCCCAATCAGTTCTAACACAATTTATATTTAAGTGAATGTGCGGTTTGCGGCGAAAAAAAAACCAAAAAGTGTTAATTCATTCAAACATGTCTCTTAATTGGGATGGCAATTATTTAAACATTGCACCCATGTCGCGTACAGATTTATCAATTTGAAAACGTTTGTAAATGCTTGTATTTACCATATTTAATTGAGAAGAAACACCAGCAGAGATTATCTTACGGGAAAACAGAACAAAAGCTGTTGCTGATTTAAACCGATCATCGGCATATCTCGCTTGTTATTTGAATACAGGTATTAATATGCAAAGCCACAATTCATGAATGTTTCAATAATCCAGTTCTGCTTTATGGAGTGACAAATTGCTACGGCGCTTATCTGACACTTTCAATATTTTCATTATTTGCCATTCTTTATGTCCTTGGGTCCAGTTTCCATTCCACAACGCCTTCGTGGACAATTCAACAATCAAAGTAAACAAAAGTTGGCGCCGCAAAAATCAAGCTCAGCTGTGGCAAACTTTTGCAGTTGATTTAAATTTTTGCTAACCGAATTTGATTGTTGGAAAGTTGCCGCCTGTGCCAGTGACCGCAAAATGTCAACAGCACTCTTTGCTTTTTGGGCTGCACTTGCAAAAATAGTCGAGCTGGTTATATACGTGTATGTATGTGCCACTAAATATTATTAGGAACTCGTTATATTTGGCTTACAATTTGCATATTGTATAGTTGGGATATTGGTTTAGCAAAGAAAATTAAAGAAAAATAAATTGGTTTAAGAAAGAGTTACTTCGTGTTGATTGTTGTATTTTATGGTATACGTGTAGTGAATTTATTAATATTCCAATTAACATTTATTGCATTCTCGCCATTTGCAGAGCAAACAAGGAATCCAGGCAGCCAGCATGCGTCGCTCCTCGTTCACGCCCGTCTTCAACTTGAGCACCCAGGAGCCGCTGATCGTGGTGGAGGAGTCGCACACCGCCGAGGATGGCGACGACATGGAAGGTGCGGCCGGCGGATGTGATCCCACTGCGGCCGGCACACGGCGCTCCAACAGCGATGATTCCGAGCCGGACTCGCCGGTGAATCCCTACCTGCTCTGCCCCTTTCCCGACATGCAGCAGCGGCGCAAGCACTCGCTGCCCTCGCTCCAGATAACCGAGGGCATCACGGCCAGCCAGGTGCGGCGATTGTCGGAGGTGGGCGGCGAGACTGGCGGGCTCAGTCCCAAGGAGGTCGAGTTCCTGGCCACGCTCTCCCAGAAGGCCAATCCCACGGCCGGCGGACGCAGGCACTCGGTGGTTACCATATCGGCGGTGCCGCCAACGCTATTCGGACGCAATCGCCGCGAGTCCATTTCCGGCGTATCCTTCAGGTAAGAAGACACGAATTCGCCAATAGCTATTAGCCATTAACCAGCGGAAGTGCGGAGGTTTCGCCGCAGCGGGACACGCAACCGCAGGACCTTTGTTAATCAGTGCACTGGACAAAAAGTTTGAAAGCGTTAGCAGGAGTGTTCAAGTGGCACGTGTGCTTTCAAATCTTGTATCTGAACTCGGGGGCACTGAAAAAGAATGATTTAAGTTATCTAATTTCATGAATCTATGTTATTTCTCTCGGTGCACTTCTGGATAGCTCTTGCCCTCTTGCCCTCTTGCCCTCTTGCTATCTGCGACTCTATGTAGCGGGCCTAATTGAATTGCGCCGCCGGCTGTTTCAAAGCTTTTCTGCTGTGACAGCAACATTTTGATATCCTAATGGGCCAGGGGGCGGTTGCAGGAAGGAAGTGGGCGTGGCCAGGTCGTGGAATAGCCAGAGGGCATAATGAGATTGTCATAAACTGCGACCGGCCGCCTGCCGTATGACGAGGCAAAATAATGAGTACAGCAATCAATGTGGTAGATACAATAAAATCCTTGGCGTTTCGAAAAGTTTGTAGCATGCTTTTTGGGGCCTCCTCCTGCAGCGAATTTGTTTGCTGTATAATTATGGTAGATGGGATATGCTGTAAAAGTTTATCAATGTGATTTCCTAGTTTTATTACACTGCACATATCGTTATAGAACACCTTTTCAAAAATACAATTTAACTTAGAGGTTTAATTTCCCATATTCTGATATAACTTAGAGCAGTTTGTTTCCTACTTTGTTGGTAGAAAACCCAGTGCTATTGCGGCCACATTCACATCGCTTTTGGCCCCGACTTGGTCCACGTTGTGTGCTGGTCACTTAAATTGCATTCCCCCCATCTCGGCCAGCCAAACGCCCCCTGCCGCGCTGTTCCCGAGTCGCGTGTCCATTAAAGGACCAACGCACTTTACGATCCCAAGTTGGCTGCTGTGGATGAGCGGCCGCAGGCGTGGAATTTCTAGGGGGGGGGGGGAGGGGCGGCAACGGGGCGTATAATTTATGCTAAAGTGATAACCGCAGACCCATCAACCACTTACTATCCGTTCACATGGAGATGTAGCCGCGGCAGTGAAATAAGCACTGTAGCTGCCTAGCTAAAATCTCAAATTGTTACGTTTTCTGCCATATCCAGAAAACCAAGCAAAAAGGTAAATAAGAATGAGGGCGTAAAATCAAATGGCACTTAAGCTAGTTAGTATCACACAAAGTTAACAGTATATAATACAAATAATAAATTAATTGTTTTAAGGACTTCTTCCTACTTGTACCTATAGTATGCATGTGTGGAGGAACCAATTAATGGGCTTCTTTGTTCTGTTCGCAGTGGCAGTCGCCGTGGCAGCGTCATCGCCGGACCGCCGCTGACCGATCACCGCGGCAGCGTGCACAACTTGCAGCTGGACATCATGGACGGGATCGTCCAGCAGCGGAAGACGCGAAGCGGCAGCGGCGTTTGGACAGCGCCCGTTCTGCAGGAGGCCGATAGCAATGTGCCCGTGCAGACATAAGCGGCTAAAGGACACGCAGGCCAACTGGGGGGAAAGGACGAAAAGTGCATGCATGGCGGACTGGGCGAGTGGAGAGAAGAGCGGATGGATGGAGGGATGGATGGATTTATGGATGGATGGGTGGTTGGGTGGTTGGGTGGATGGATGGACGGATGAATGGATGACTGGATGGCTGGTTGGGATTTCTTCGACAGAGGAACAGCTGAATTGGATTGGACACTGGGCAATACAAACAACCAAATGCCTGGAAACTCCGCCAACTCGAACTGCAACTGGACCTATATTAACATTTCGTTCTTTCCCTCCCCCCCACACACACAAAAAAAAGAAAACTCACGCTCTGCCCCACGATTTTCCACCGGGAAATTGCTTTTCGCGGCTGCCGCATAAAGCAAACAAACAAACCACAAAAACCGCAAAAAACGAAAAAAAAATCAAAAAAATCAAAAAAATCCCACGGCAAATGGCAAAGAATGGTAGGTGGAAAATGAAAATAAAAAAAGAAACACTGCGAAAAAAAGGAATATATAAAACTTCGAAATTAAAAAACTGCAGTTAAACAAAGGGTAAGATGGCAAGACCAATTTAAGATGAAAAGAATGGCTGGAAAACGAGAATAAAGCAAAACGAACATAAAAGAGAACCAAGGAGGCGGTGGAAAGCAACTGAATAAAACGCATCGTGACCATTTTGATTGCCAGCAATTTTGGTTAACACCTGTGCCACGTGCCACGCCCACAACTGTCGCCGACTCCCCCAACGCCCATCGCCCATCGCCCACAATTACGACTTAAAAATGGACACCTGCCCCATGCAACAAGGATAGTTGCAAATAAAATTTAATTGGAGTGTTAAGGACGAAGGACAAAGGAAACCAAAGATAGCGCAACACTCGAAACTCTTCCTCGAAATAATTATAATTCCCAATTGATCACAAAACGGAACAATTACCCAAAGTAAGTGCTTTTTTCCCAAAATTTCATTTCAGTTATGTACTTTCATTTCACCTTTGTTTGCTTTTATGTACATATTTTTTTCAGTTACACATTAATTTAAGTCGCTTAGTGGACAAAGTCTGCCATAGTTTTTCAAAATGTTCTATAATTTGCGGCACAAATTATTCAAAACCCCTGGTGAAAATGGGGTCCTTTAATTGCAGCCGTACGAAGTGCTCGAGTGAAACCTAAGTTCTGCGCCAGTTTTATGTTTACTTTTTTTTTCTCATATTTCGTATTTGTAACATTTTATTTTTGACATTTCTCAATGGGCTGTGTGCATTTTTAATAATCCCACTGCCGGGCAGCTAAACATAAACACACACACACACACAGCACACGCACATAATAAAATGCTGCTTTGCCTGAAGGACACGAAAACGAGGAGGGTGGGTGGTGGCAAATGGGGGCCAAGGACGCGGCAATGCTATTGCCACAGAACCCTGAACCCAGCAATTTTCTGTTGCGGCCAACGTGACGTATGCGTAATAACACGCAGCAACAACTGCACCAATGCCATTGGCAATGCCAATGCCAATGCCATGGACCAAGGATCATGTTCCTCCTGCTTTTAATGGCTTGTCCAGCCCCCGGACCACCGATTGGCCACGCCCACCCTCCACTTCGCTCAATATGGCTAATTTATGTTAATGTGGGCATTGCTTAATTGAAACGCATGTCAGTATGCATTCCAACCAGTATGCAGACCACTTGGTCGCCGCCCCGGCAAACTAATTATAGAAAATCAAAATGCAATTGCAAATGCCAACTGAACTGCGTTACGCTAACTGCCAACGGTCATTTGCAAAATATGCGGGGCAAACATCAGTTTGTCCTCGCTAAGCATCATCATCATAATCATGTAGGGCAAAATTAATAGTCGGAAATTACCGAGTGTCCTTTAGCGGAGTGAGCACCGTTTCGAACAGCCGTAAATTATTAACGATTTATATCTGCGATTACCTTGGTCCACGATTCTACGATTCTACGATTGCCATTAAACAGTTTCTGATTTAATTAGAGCATGATGTATTGAAAAGCAAACTCGTAACGCACAGCCTAAGCTTTTGATTTGTTATTATAATTTTAGAGTGGTTTTTTATTATTTCTTTTGATAAATAAAACCACCGAAGACATGGAAATCTAAAATATTACTATGCTTTACATTCTCTCCACAGGTTCCCTTATCAATCGATTTAAAGTAAACATGCAACTCAATGTAATCAGTTATTAAAGAAAACACATGAAATTAAATCAATATATTGTATATTCAGGAATTGATATATTAGTGAATAACTAGCGAAAACGAAGAGAAATTGGAAAGAAAGCGACTTAAAAATAACTATTTACTTAAGACCTAGTTCTTCTCATTTTTTGGATGTTGTGTAGATTCGTGAACCACCGCATGAAAGAAAACCACCAAAATGAAAATACTAATACGAGTATACAATCCCACAGACTATTTAACTATAGAACAGAATCCAATGCAATTTGAAAGTGGAAATCCTCAGGTGCTTTTCGAACTAGCTCGTTTTTCCATTTACCAGTTACCATTTAACCCTGATTGATTCAATCAACAAGTGCAATCAAAATTGAGGAGAGTTGACAAATATACCATGTACCTAAGAAATTAAAAATCAAGCGAAAACCCAACATTAAACTTTAGTGGAAATGTGCAAAATATGAAAATGAAACTAAAAGCTAGTCTAAGAGCAAAACGATTTATTGCCAAACCAGCAATAAAACGATGTGGAAAATCAATTATGTTTGAACTGGGCTTGCTGCTTGCCCAGCCCAGCAGGTCAGCCAGCCTTTAGTTCGAGTAGCCAGACCCGAAATCCGAAGCCCCAATTAATAATAATGCTACATACTCGTACATGGCGAAGAACTTGAGAATTTGGGGGTTTCTTCAATTTTATTTCGGTTTTGTGTGGGGTAACGAAAAGCAATTCGCTGAAATCGAATATTTCGAAAATCTGTATCTGTATCAGTTTGAAATAATCTTTCCCAAAAGTATTCAGTATAAGTAATTGGCTTTTTAACTATGCCTCTGTGGAAATTCCCTTAAAAATGTCTTTGTCTTATTGTTTTCTTAAAAATATGAAATAGTTTTTGGACATTATTTTGGCACCCGTGACTAGAAAAGGAAATATAAATTGAAGAGATCGCCGCATTTTCAAGACGATGGAATTTTCTTTCATATAAGTCTCGATGTTGTTGTTTCTTATAGAGTGTACACATAAACATAGGGTATATCCTCGTCATGAATATATTTAGAATGTACATAACAAAACACTCGAATACTTAATTTACTCTCTGTGTTCCTCTGTTCGAACCGGAAACGAGTTTGCGCCTTCTTAGCACTCCAGGAAAATGAAGGAAAATCCCCAATATTCAAGATGAAATGGGAGGAGAATTATATAAAAGCCCCAACAAAATTTGCCCATTCCTCTAATTTGACCTGAGAAAATGTCGCTGGACGACGAAGGAAAAATACAAAAGACGTGTGTAAAACAAAACTAGAGAATTTTTTTATTATTAAACATAGTCAAGGATAATCAACATGAGATGATGGAAACATTCGCCAAATGCTAGCAAAAATGATGATGAGAGCGCAAGCATGTAAAAGATATATTTATAGAAATGAGCTATATGTATACATAATGACAGATTGATTCTATGATTATATAGTAACTTATTGTCACAACGCAAGAGCAATCAATGTTTAACTTTATTAAATGTTACAAAGAGTTTTAAATATTAAATATACTTAATGAAATATATACAGATATACTTATATATTGCAGATTATATTCTATACATATAATTTGTAGGTGAAGCTGAGATTAATAAAATACTAGTCGTACTCGTAGTTCGCCATTATGTTTGCCAAAAGTCGGAGATAAATGTAAGCAAAGCTGTGTCAGCCATTACAGAAGTTTGAGGAAAACTATTAAGCAAAACGTTCTCCAGAATCTCATTAAAACCCATTTGTAAATCTATTGTACCCGCCTAATCAATAATCGTGAGCAGCAATCCTTATATTCAAATTATACAAGCCACAAAATAGAATTATTGAATGTGCAAAAATATGACATAAATAACAACATAACCCGGGCTGGCACTCTTAAACATTTTTTTTGTTAGCATTTATTTCAATATCGTTATTTCTTGTGTCTTAGCAATAATAATATAATTAAAATGTGTGTGTCGCTCTGTAACTGTCTCTATTGTGTTTGAGATTACTCGTATCTTATAATGAATATTATTACTAAACTAAAGCAAAAAAAATGCAGAAAAACAAAGTATGAAAGCAAACACGCAGGAAACGCAGTATGGAATCCACAACAGAAATTAAAATTACTAATTAAAACGATTACTTACAGTAGACTTAAGAATACAAAGATTAAATAAAGAAAACGATTTCCTTACATTAACATTGGTGTAACATTTTGCGGGAAAGCTTTCATGGGTTTGAAGAAGCTTTTAACGGGCATTTATCCAAGTCACCGTTACATTGCTTTCTGAAAAGCTTAAAGCTTAAAAGTGTTAGCTTTTCGAAGTGGTAAAAGTGAATATTTTGCGTTTATTTTGGCTGAAACCGATATATTAGAGTTAAATGCTGGCTAAAAGCTGTTTGCTCGTGTAAGCTTTTACTTAAAACGGATTTCCGTTTATTTTTTGTGGTAAATAAAGTTTATTTTTTACGTTCACAGTCAAATTCCCCTGGGTTACGTGGAAAATTGCTTGTCGAAAAAAACATAGCATCAGTTAACCCACTTGTGTCGTGTTAGCCTGTCAAACTTTTCCAATTACTCGCATGCACTGGGCTACCCAAATAAATTACCTTATATCATATACGTTGCATCCAGTTACATATCCGGAACAATAGTTAAACCAATGTCGAGATGAACGGCACGATTAGTAAGTGTAGCTAATATCTACGTTGTTACTGGTTATTCAATAAATAACTTATAAAGTGTTTTATATAATAGCTTGTTGTTTCTGATTATTCAATAAATATTAACTGGTTTATACAATAGTTTGCTGGGAATTGCTTAAGAATCAAAGTA